CGCATCTCTGCAGGCTCAGCCATCAGCTCCTCATGTCCAGACATCACTTTGGTCTCTCAATTCTTATTTGGCTCGTTGTTTTTGGGGTTTTCTCGTTGCATTTCGAGTCGGGGTCCCACAAAGCATTCTGGACTTTGGAGTCACTTTGCATAACCCCCCCCACCCTCTCAGGTGTCTTCCCTATGTTGTAAGAGAGCACAGCCTCGGGGGAAGGGCCATTCACCGCACCCAGCCGGGCCTTTTACTAATACAAAAGAAGAGATAAGCCTTAACGACCCGGTATTACAATAACAAAGCACTAAGAATCCTGGCAGAGACCGACCCAGCGGCGTCCCTGCAACTCCCTCTCAAAAAAATATTAACTGAATTTTTGTTCATAACACAGATCCCTTCCCTTCTCCAGGGTTAAAAATAGAAAAAACAGAGAGCAATGCTCTCTTTCGCAACATTTCCAAATGCAACAAAGCTTTTTTTGCCTGGCAGCACAGGAAAGCACGGCTGGCTCCCCCGGGGCAGGATGTGCCCAGGCCCCTCCGCTGCTCCCGGCACGGCCCCGGGCTCAGCAATGCCCGCGATTATGGAACTGCTGAGGCCGGGGAAATTCATCAGCCACAGCCACATTTATTCACAGAGAGCCTCGGCTGAAAGGTGATGAGCACAACAACTGTTTTCCTTAGTAAACCTGCGGCAGATTCATTTGTAATAGCCTATGCTCTTTTTAAAAAAAGCCTTTCTCTGTTCATTCTATGCCGATGTTTTACCCCGCCACTCTCTTCTTGACAAGCATGTTAGCTTTCCTAAAATGTTGTTGGATTAAAGGGTTTATGGATGAATACTTAACAGTCAACAAAAATGATTTAACTTTACACATTCAAAGGATCATAGTGATCAAGAGAAACTTTTTTAAAAAAATTTTTCAAAAGAAGCTGTCTGATTGTTTTGAGTTGTTTAAAGTGACTAGAAACTGAGTCAGAAAAGGAGAAGCAAAAAAAAAAAACCTCTGGTGCTTTTCATGCATATTTTTTCACATAGATGCCTCCCAGCCAATTCTCCTCATCACCCTGGCACCCCTCAGGGCACACTGTGGAAGGGGCAGGGAGCAGGAGACAAAAAAGAACAAGAAAAGGGTCTGTGGGTGGTGGAAACAGGTACCCACCAAGGAAGAAAGATGTCACTGGCTAATGCTGTGCAGCCAGCATCTGAACCTGTAACTACATCCACTCCTTATCAAACTAAGATTCTTTTAAGGCTCTTGCAGGCTTAGGGCTCCCACTTGTAGGTTTGTGGCAGGCTCAGTGTCAAAACTGCAGATATTTCTGCAGGTACTGCTGAGGAGTCAGACTGTGCATTGCAAGGCATGGGTCACTGCAGGGTTTGAGAGCAACAGAGCTCAGTAATTTGTTCAAGACAAAAAAAATTTGTAGGAAAAGGAGCCCATGTGTGGTTTGCTTGCATTTTTTTTCAGCATAAGTGCTCCTTGTCCTTCAAAAGCTTGGTGGGTTGTCTGCATTGAGATGGATGTGTGCACCAGGGTCTGTCAGGAACACACTGGTTTCTCTCACTTCACCTGCTGGAATCTCTCGTGAGTTCAGAGGTGAGAGAAAGATGCATTGTGGCCCTGCTGCCTTAGGATTCAGGCTTGGGTGTTCTAGGAGGATAAATATTCTTGGCTGTCCCACTGTTACCCTGCTTGACTTTGGGCAAGACACTTTCTCACTGCCTTTGTTCCCCAGCCTGGAAGTAAAACATCAGAATATCTGTTTGTGAGTTCAAAGTGCCATTGGACACTGGTTTCTGCAGGGAATAATCAAACTGTCAACCAAAATCCAAGTTCCCTCCTGAGATTCTGCTGCAACACCAGCACTAAGACGAACTGTCTCCAGAAGGTCTGCCTCCCATAATGATCTCATGTGATGGAGCACAAGAGAGCGATGTTGCAATGAACCTAAGGATTTCTACAGGCATTTGAAAAAGGCAGTAAATACCTCAGTGATTGCAGCCATTCATGAATGAAAGCAGCCTATACACGTGTTGGTTCACAACTGAAAGTGGTAATAGAAGAGGTTAATAACACTTAAAGTGCTTTGTCCCTCCCCACAATAGGTTTAACATTTTTTTCTGAGACAAATTCTACTATTTGAGAAGAGAGAAAAAAATTCTACAGAACTGGAATCCCATCTATATGTTCCCATTAAGTTTCATGAAAGAAACGCTTGACATATTTTTATGCTGATGAAGGCTCGATGAATTAAAGCAGTGCTCCCACTTCCTCCTTTCTGATGCTAATGCCTAATTCAAGCATATTTATACAAAAAACTCTGCTTATAAAGCAGGGCCATGGAAAAAAAATCTCTGCAGCACCTACTGAAGCAAGGTGAACTCCTGGCGTAGCAAGCACTGACTTTTTGTTTGCAGGTTCTGAATGCAGAGCACTGTTTTACGAGCTGCCAGCTCTCTGCACTCCTACAGCCACGGCAGCTTGACAGAATAAAAATGGCATGCATCACACTTGGGTTGGAAGCATATTTTCAGCAAGTACTACAAAACCGAAAGAGTAACAGAAAATATAATACCTACCCCACCACTCCACTCCCTCAAGTGCAATCTCTAAAAGCTCTGTGGCAAAACCTGTATGCAGGGCCTGGTTTGAGTGTTTGAAACACTCATTGAACCAGACAATCATTTGCCACTTAATCCTTAATGAATGCAGTTGCTATTTTTGCAAGCACGTCACACTGGTGAGAATGTTTGCTGATGGAATATCAGTGGGATGTGATTTTATTCTTATGAATAAATATAATGTGGTGTCTGTGCACATTTGTATGCGCACGAGCCCTCTCCAAACTGCCAGAGTGTGCTGTATATCCAAAGTCCTCGAGAGAGAATGAACACCTGGGGATGAAAGAAATCCCAGGTCCTTACTTGTGCTTGTTCATAATAGGGTGATGCACTTCTTGGTGCACCTCAACAACAGGAAACTGTCTGGAGCACCAGATGTGGCTTGTTTGGCTTGACACAGAGCTTTCAAGAAGATTTGGTGTATTCAGGCATAACAATGTCATTGCAGCAGTCAAGAGAAAAGGCAAATTTTCCTCAGCTTGTTTCTCTGAACCCCTTCTTTAGGGCAGGAAGATTAATTCCTTGCTCTGGGAGTCTATGATCAAGTGAAAATAAGCTTCTGAACTACAAAGGAAATCTCTAAAATGTGACTCAAGGCGTCCTGTACCTCTAAAAGCAGAAGACAAAGAGGAATGAACTTTAGAACCTGCCAATTTAAGAACATTTCCATGCCTAGTACTGCTTTCAGAAACAGGAATGGTCTGTCCACATCAACCTGTGTTTTTAGCTGGAGAAGACTGGCAGTGAGGAGATATCCTGGCACAGGGTTTTCAAGAAGACTTGGTTAACATAAAAATGTTAACACAAAAATAGATGTAAAGAATTCTTTTAACCAGGTACAAGATTGTTTAGTTGTGTAGTAAGGAAAAGTGGGGAATCTGACTTTCGTTTTTTTCTTAAACTCTCTTTTCCCCCCTGCTAGGAGTCTCCTTGGATGGGCCAGACATCTGAGACCTGAACTGCCAGCATCTCTACGCAGAAAAAGTGAAGAAGAGTAAATTTAGTATCACAAACTAATCCCAGAAAGATGCTGTGAGACTTATTTGAGGATTTAAAATTCCCTGAAATCCTAAGATGAAAGGGATTTTGAAAATGCAAATAGCAAAAATATTTTTTCCCTCAGTCAGATTGAACTAAGCTATTTAAAAGCCAAATAACACAGGCAGGAATTTTTCGTTTTGAATTTGTTTGTGAAGCAACCATTATACGCTTTAGTTTTTTAAGCTCTGTGTTTTCTGAAGAAACAATGGACCATTTCTTTATAGGTGCTGGTAAAATCTGTTACAATAGCTGTTAGTAAAACCATTTAATTACATGGCACTTAAGAATGTCTGAGACTGGTGAGATTTTCCCATTAGAGAAGAGAGGTTATTCATCAATCTATTATTCTAGGAGAGGTAGAAACTAGACCTTTCTGTTTAAATGTAGTGTTTATTAGCGTTAAGAGGCTCAGAGGAGGAATTCTATTGCATGTCTGGAAGTGCTGGCTACGGCTGCAGTTTTGAAGGAGCACTGTCAAATCGAAAATTGCATTTTCTCTGAGATGTCGCACCCCGACTGGTGTCACGACAACACCTGAAATCACCATAAGTGGAAGAGATTAGGTGAAAATTAAAGTTTCTCTCCCACCATTTTGCTTATTTTTGTGTGTTTGACAGCTCCTCCGGGGAGCTGGATAGAGGCTCGGTGGGTACAGGAGAGGGCAGGGACCCAGCCAAGCTGTTTTCCTGGGAATGTTCCGCACCATCGCTGTTTGCCCAGCTCACCCGGGCACCTGTCCGGCCTAGCCCGGACTTTTTCCGTGGGGATGCGGAGCTCGGCTCCCAGCCCTTCACAGCCGGGAGGAGCTGGCTGAGGGAACGGGTGCCCTGGGGCAAGGGGCGCGTCTGCGCAGCCCTAAGACTGCCGATGCCTATTTTTTATTATCATTTTTATTTTTAAAAATAATTTTTACACCCTCCAACGGAAGCCGGGTCCTCAGACCGAGCCTTTATTATTTGACCTCCCGCGCAAGAGGCCCCTCAGGGCGGCCCCGACAGCGCCCCCCAGAGGCGCGCGCCGCCACTCGCTCCGCTCGCCTCAACTTGCCTTTGGCGCCCAATCCGCCCCTCAGCGGGAGAAACCACTTCTCCTAACTCCCCGGGGGGAACCCGGCGCCCGGGAGGCAGAGTGACCTGCCTTCCCCGCCACGCAGCGCCCTCCAAAAGAACGCCAAGGCACTTCAGAAGATCAGAAAAAGGAAATTCCCGCTGCTTCACGTGGTGTCGCTCTTTCAGCGGTACACGAGCGCGTTCTCTGCTCCACAGTTCTCCCTCCAAGTGGCGGTGAATGGTTTGCGCCAGGACGGGACGGGGAGGGTCCGCCGCCATTTTGTTTGCGTGAGGGGTGAGCGGGCCCTGTGCGGGAAGCGGGGGGCGGCTGCGGGGGCGGGAAGCGGCGGCGGAGACCCGCGGTCAAGCCGAGCGCTCGGACCGGAAAGAGACGGCGAGGGCGGGCTGAACGGCAGCCTGGCGGCCCTACCGCATCCTCGGCAAACATGTACATCAAGCAGGTGAGGCGGCGGGATTCGCGCCGCCCGCAGTGTGCGGTGCGGCCTGTGCCCGGCCTAGGGGGTTGGCCCAGCCCGCTCCGCCCCGGGGCTGGGGGCTCTGCACCTTCACATCTGCCCGGCCCGCAGCAGGGGACCCGCGGGCTTGCGGCGGGTTCGGAGGCCTTGGCTTCGATCTTTTCTGTCCCGGGGGGGCGGATCGAGGTCCAGGCTGAGGGAGGTGTCCCCGGCCCGGCCACGGGTCAGGTCCTACCCCCGGCTGGGCTGGCGGCGCTTTCTCTCCTTCTCTGCTCCTCGTTCATTCATTGCTGGTCTGAAGTGCCGCTGGGGTCTCCTCATGGACCCGAGACTTGTTCTCGGGGCCCCTTTGTACGCCAGCCCCGGTGTCCCGGCTGCGGAAGGCTTGTACCCAAACAAAGGGCTCTGCTCCGCTGTCAGAAGCGTCTTTCAGCTGTTCACATTGAGGGATCTCTGCCTTGGGGTGCTGCCTCAGGCCCCCGGGCATGAACCATTTCACCTGATATCCCTCAGCCTTGCCAAGCGATCTGTGGCTGGTGCTCACTTGAAAAGATCCTGGTATACACCTTCTTCAGTTTTTGAGGTCATCATTCTATTACTTCTGCAGTTTTTTTGCAGCTGCTTGAGTAGCAGATTTTTATTACTGCTGCATATGTGTGTTCATTCAAAGCCTACCAGGATTCTCATTTCCTGGTGGACTCAAAATTGACCTGTTTCTCACACCCTGCGGGTGTTTTTCTTAAGAAGAATACTTTATTAGCGTTGAAGGTGCATGTTTTACATAGATACCAGGTTCTCATCTACTGTTTGTCTGACCGGGCAGTATTTCAAACACCTTTTGATCGCACTCTTGATTAATCATCATAGATGGGCACATTGCTTTAAAGACTTTGAATAAGAGTTTTTGCTCTCCAGATTTTAATCACTTGAAAGCAGACAGTAGTGGAGATCTATAGAGCAAGTCCAAATTAACTCAGAACAGGGGAAACGTTTCATTTTGGGGAAAACAAAAAGAAGGAAAATTGGGTGGCCAGTAGCCAATACTGTTACAGGAGCTATAGGAGAACGTGCAACAATTCTCATTCTTTTTATTTTATTTGCTGCCTACCTGTATTCTTAGCTTCGGATTCCAGAAATGAAATAATTTTGCAAAGAGAATTTGACCAGAAAGCCATAGTGCCTGGGGAGAGAAGGGCTCTCGAGTTCTGACTAAAAGTTAGCTAATGCTTTTAGGTTTTATTTCATTTTGATTTTTATAAATTCCACTGTTTGATTTGCTGTCTGACATGGCATTTTTATTCAGCATAAGTGAGATAGTTTTAATCCTTTACTTTAAACAGGTGATAAGAGGAGTTTTCCACAACAATACTTTTAGTGGCCTGTCACACAATGGGAGAAAGACTGAAGATCAAACTTGGCATGAATAGATATGGGCATTTTCCTCTCCCAGTCTTTTGTCCAGTACTTTTTGTGGGCAGGAATTTCCCCCCACTGTTTGTTTAACACTACCAGAATGTGGATGCAGTTCTGAAGGTAGATGTTTCTTGAGGTGTTTGGGTGTACACTTAATAGAGGCGTTTGTAGCAGTGAGGAAAGGCTTGCTCAAATGTGTGCTGTACTTCTAGGCTTTTTGTTGGAGTTTTGTTTGTGCTTCTTGAATAAAAGGTATTATGCTCATTTTCTGGAATGTGGGCTCCTTTAACACTTGAAGCTGTAAGAGAAGGAATGACATGTTCAGACAGATAGAAGATAGTGATAGCACCCTAGACCTTACAAACAAAAATCGAAGTCATTTCATATCTTAATCTTCAGCACTAATAACATTGAGAAGTGGAGTGCAAGCTGGTTTTGTGTGTTGTTAAGAAGTAATTTTAGTGCATTGTAGCTGTCCTAGTGAAACACTGTCACTGCTTTAACTGTATCCTGTTCTGCTGAGGAAGAGCTGGGCAGAGAACACAGTTATTAACTGGGAGCTGCAATCCTGTTTCAAGTGTTGCTGCTGAAAGCTGTGCAGGTGTCAGACCTGCGGGTGCTGCTGCCTCTGTCACACCGAGCAGAGCAGAGCTGCTGTGCTTTCAGCCAGCTTGGATGTGTGGAGCAGCTTGCTTGCTGCTGCAAGGTGGATTCCTTTTGTTGCTATGCAGAGCTGAAGTTTGAGGATATTGTAACTCTGTACCTGCTGTATTGCTAGGCCTGGCAAACCTCAAAATGCTGCTGAAGTTAAAGAGTTGAAGTTTGATGTGCTGCTTTCAGGTGACTGCTGCATAGCTCTTGAAGTTATTTGTGTACGTTTTTGTCTCTTTAGGCTGTGAATTGGAGCCAAGACAAGCTTGCTTTTTGATGTTTCCCTTTAGATTGCACAGTAAAATGAGACTATTGCATGTGAAATAGGCAGTCAAGTACAGTTTGTGCAGCCTGCAATGGCCCTGCTTGGAGAATTCACCAATAAAATTGTCATGCTCTAAGTAGATAGCATTATAAAAATTAGGTGCTTGTTATACTCAGTTTTCTTTCCTGTATATGATACTTTAAGCAAATACTTTTTTTTCCGAAAACCTCTTGGAACTCTCTTTCTTGCTGTGCTTTGGCCTGCACAAGTACCAGCATCTCTTGCTAGGGGAGAAATCTGTCCCTAAATCAGTGCTTAGGTGAGGGGCAAGTTTGATGTGAGTTTCTGATCTTGAGCTGGAAAGTTGAGTGTGTGCAGGAAGGGCAGGCATATAATAATTTATATAAATATTCTGCCAAACCTTATAGTAGAAAAACTGTTCAAGAACTTTGTTAAAATAACTCCTTCTTCTCACCAGGTAATCATTCAGGGCTTTCGAAGCTACAGGGACCAAACCATTGTGGACCCATTCAGCTCCAAACACAATGTCATTGGTAAGTTCACATACTTGTCTTTTATCACTAGTTAAAATTGCACTTTTATTTCAGATATTCATGTTAGTCTCCTCTATAGTTTTTAATATTGTGGTTACATTTGATGATTATATTTTCTGGTTGGGTAACTTCTGCACACCTGTCTGTGATGTTCCACTGTGTGTTACACTTACAACTATTAACCTTCAGTTTTGCTGGGACAAAGCTGAGCCTCCAGAAGCTGAGTGAGTTTCATAAACTCCTTCTTGGTGCACATCTCTGTATCAGCCAGACCTCCTTTAAAGGTTGTCCTTGCAGGAACAGCACCAGAGAATTTGTACCGGATTCTTTTTCTTTTTGGTCTGTGCAAGTGTCATCATTTTTATAAATAAGCACTAGCAATTATAAACTCCTGAAGAGGAAGAAGATCATCTTTCTTCCAGTTTTAGAGGATGAATTTGTGGACTGTAGACTGTTAAAAAGTACAAGTTTTGAAGTGCAGTTTCTTGAGTAATTGCTATTTTAATAGCATGTTTTTGTCCACCATTCTCACACCTCTTCTATTTCTGCCTATGGATGCCTGGCCCTGCCTTTTTTGTTTGCATTGGTTTTAGTGATTGTGCAGCAACTTTTGAGACTGCTGACCCAACAGCAAGCAGTCAATTTTGGGCATAAAATCTTAGTAGCCAGGATTTAACTCTGACACTGGGAAAAAAACCATGCATATGACATGAATAGATGTCTTCTTTAATAATATTATTTCTACAGGAGCTAAAACTTTATCCAGGTATTTGTGTTCTTAAAATACACTAAAAAAATCTCTTTTCACTGAGGGTTTTTAGCTTCTTTTTAAAGACTTGATAACAGTTTTTGGAGTGAGGTGAGTCTGGATGCTGTGTAGGCAGGCAGAGATGGAAAGCCTGGGATGTTCATTTTTGCTGGAAGACAAGTGGGTTTGAAACTGATGCAGCAGGTCCTGATCTTAAAGAGAAGGCTCTGGGCCTTGCTGAAACACTGCAGTATAAATATTGAGATTATATTGGTGTAGTGCTGTGTTCTTAGACCTTTCATTTTCTATGCAGAAGTAGAGCTTACTCCAGTATTTCATGATTAACAAGTGGATTATTAAGAAGTTAATGTGCTACATGAAGTTCATACAGTCAACCTGAATGTATAGGAAGTGGTTTCCTCTGGGTAAATGTTCTGGAGCCAAGAGAATTTGACTTTGGTTTGCTGTTCTTTTCCATCAGATTGTCAGTATAAGAACCAAAAAGATGGCAATAAATAGGATTGGTTTAGCTGTTATTCTCATTGTGGAGTAGTTTTGGAGTTTGTAAGTCCAGGTAATGTTTGAGTGGGCAAAGGGCAAATGTCTTGTACTCAAGTGGTCCATCAACCGAGTTCATCTCATTCCCTGGAGATTTCATTTGGCTGTGTTATATTTGGGTTCTGCTCTTGAATATTTTCGTGTTACATTTAAAGTACATTGCAGTGTTAACCTAGGTCAGCTTAACTTATGTCATACTTTGTGTTTTAATTTTCAGTGGGAAGAAATGGATCTGGAAAAAGCAACTTCTTTTATGGTAAGCATGGATTTCTTGTTAGCCAAGGGATGCTGAAGATAGCAGGTTTCTTTGCTTGTTTTTGCTAGAGCTTGGTTTAATAAATGATCTTCCTCAATAAGGAGTGGCAGAATGGAGATTACTTGACAGTGATGAAAGGCAGATATCAATGCACTTGTTTAATACTTAGTCCAGGTTTTTCCCTAGAATTCAGCTTCTCTTATTAAGGCCCTTCTAAGACTTTCAGCTGGCAAATGTATTTACAGGAGGAAATGGATTCTAAAAGTTGCCCTCCATGAAAGATGATTATGATATTTGCAATTGTTTTAGACACCCTTAGTGGCTAAATTCTACTCAATAGCAGTTTGGCACAGCTTAGACATTCTCTTAATATAAGGTTATGAGGGGGATTTTGTGAGGTGGGAGCATTAATGGAGGAGTGAAGATGCTAATTAAAGATGTTAGTATGCTTTGTGATGGTTGTGTTTATAAATTGTCTGATGCTAAGTACTTTAGCAATATTTTTAGCCTAGCCTGTGTGCTGTGTATATGTAGAAGGATGCTGATGAATCCCTAATTGTTCAGCATTGTTAATGATTATGCAGTGAACCAGTAGTGTGGCAACAATGACCTCTTCTGATAAATCCTGCTGTACAGCAGGTTGAGTGATAAAAATCCAGCAGATCAAGGTTTTTAATGAAGAAATATTGTAAGATTTTGGCAACAGCTTGATTGTATTATACAACAGTAAACCAGTGTGTTTTGAGTTAATGAAACTGTTGCATGTCTCCCTGAAGGAAAGAATAAATTTTCTGTTTCTTTCCTATTTTATTACAGCAATTCAGTTTGTCCTCAGCGATGAGTTTAGTCATCTTCGCCCAGAGCAGAGACTGGCTTTGTTGCATGTAAGTGAACATGTAGCAGCAAAACTAAAGAATAAGCTAATGCATTTGAATGGGACAGCAAAAATGTTAAATTGCTGGGCTGTGGATATTTCAAGCCAATTATTTTGAAAGCAATTTTCTTTGTTTCAGTTGGCAAAAGGGAATTTATTACTCAGTACTACATTATGTTGATAATGCGCACCAGTGAATGCGTAGCCAAGATTATCAGAAATAAAAATGTGTGCTGGAAATTATGTAGATGTTCTTGCATCTCTAGTCCTTGAAAGGAAAGGGGAAGTGGGGTTGTCAAGGAAAAGAGGAGAAGAAAGAGTTCAAAATCTGGCAGCTGTCTAACCAGAACATCTCTTCTCCTAGGAAGGAACAGGTCCTCGAGTTATTTCGGCATTTGTGGAAATTATATTTGACAATTCTGACAACAGGTTACCGGTGAGTTCAGAGACCTGCTTTGGACATAGATTATCCTTGCAGACTCAAGTGATCTCAGCCTTATGGAAGGCACAGTACCTGCTTTTGGGTCATTTCTGCTAAAAAGTGTCATAGGCATTCTGGTGTTAGTTACAGCTGCTTGCAGTAGGTATGTGTATTTACTGGGTTTTGTTTTCTTAAGATTGATAAAGAGGAAGTCTCACTTCGCAGAGTCATTGGAGCCAAGAAGGACCAATATTTCCTAGACAAGAAAATGGTGACGTAGGTACTTCTTTTCCTTATCTGAATGAGAGCAGTAGTAGTTCTGTAAAATTCTATAGGCAAACCCAACACTTGCATCCCTAGCATGAAATAATTGATTTCTGTTGTGTAATACTGAGTGCCAGTAGTTTGGTAGCTGGAATATCAGCCCTTATGCAATAGACAGCACACTTTGAATTGGCAGTTCAAGCCATCCATTGTTGTGGTGTTTAACTGCTTGCATAGTATTTCATTCAGGATTTTTTTGAAATAGAAGAGTTACCACACTCTCAGTGGTTTTATATCCTTCCTTATGATATGTTTGCCTGTATTTCCCTCCTCTGTGCTTCGAGTGCTTATTTCTTAATCTTTTTCCAATTCTATAGTATTTTAGATATTTACCATTTTTATTATCTCATTTCATTTTAGAATTAGCCATTTTTAAATAAAGAAGGTTGTTCAAACAGAGCATGCATTGCACACGGTGATATTATGTGATGTATAGTTGTGATAATTTACTGCATTTTTATAGCTCTCACTTTTACTGTAAGTTTTTAATGGATTCATAATAACATTTCAGGAAAAATGATGTCATGAATCTTCTTGAAAGTGCTGGATTTTCTCGCAGTAATCCCTACTATATTGTCAAACAAGGAAAGGTAAGATTCTTTTTCACAAAGTAGAATCATCACTGTCAAGGGTATCATGTTTCCTGGATGCCAAACTTAGTTCAATTATTTCAGAAGTAAACCAAAACCTAAATCTACTGAAGCTTGAAATAGTTCTTGTATTTCAATGCTTCTTTGGCAGATATTATTGTTTTAGTAGTTTATGTCAATTTAAAAAAGAAATCATGTCTGTAAATGCTGATACTTAGCAGAGGGTGTTTTATCATGGTGATCTTTACAATCAGGCTTTTTTTTCCATATACTTAAATACAAAGCAAACTTAATTCCTGTGGAATAGTTCAGTATAAATTCAAAGATTTCTGGGCCTATAGATGAGGCAGCAAAGTAATGGTAGAGAATTTTAAGAGGTTGAAGATACTGTCAATGGGGAATGAATGGAAAGTGTAGAAGTACCAAAAGTGAGTGCACATTAGGAAATGGGCTCATGGCATGGGCTGTGTTAACTGGTCTTCAAGACCCAAGCAACTTTCTAGAACTTTCAAAGGACACCCACACCTGGAGACAAAGCACAGACTCCTTGTAGTGGCTCACAGGGTGGATCATCAAGGAGGCTGGGAACTGTCACCTCCAAAGGAAGGCATCCTTGGAGAGGAATGCAGGAGGAGAAGACTTGAGGAGTGCTTGATGTCAGGAATGCTAACCCATAGTACAGCCTGCCAGATGTTCACCAGGATAAATTGTCCTATACAGTTGAATGTGTGCATTTGAAAGAAACTGCTTAAGCTGGAAAGTCAGTGGTAGTGGGGATTGGTGCACACTGCTTAGCAGCCAAAATACACAAACTGGTTTTAATATAAGACAAATTAGAAACAGTTACCTTCTTAGAAAAGCATGCAGCCCCTGAAATTCTATTGAAAGGAAGTGAGTTTTATGTTGAGTGTAATTGTATGACTGATTTGATGTCATATTAATGAGTGTTTCATGATGTGAATTATTCTAAGATTTATAACCCCTGAATTTTATTGTGGTTTTATGGAGGCATTTAAACTGTTTGATTTAGCACCAGGACTTAAAAGCACAAGCTTGAGTTTCTCTAAATATAATTTTGAGTGGTTTATGATTTTTTCAGCTTAGATAGTACATGTATCCTGAGTTTTAGAAACAAATAGAAACATTTGAAAAGCAACAAATTTCATTACAAGCAGAGTACTTGCGGTCCTGAAGTAATTGTCTCAAAAGGAAAGCAGTGTTGGGTATGCTGTGTATCTGAATCTTCTTGCCAAAACCTCAGGCAAGCAGGCAGAGCAAAAGAGTGCAATCTTTGCTCTGTTGTGGTTAGCCATACATTCAGAGCAGGTTATTGAAATCATAGATCTTGAATTTTCAGATCAACCAGATGGCCACAGCTCCTGACTCTCAAAGATTGAAGTTGCTAAGAGAAGTAGCTGGTACCAGAGTGTACGATGAACGTAAAGAGGAGAGTATTTCACTAATGAAAGAAACAGGTAAAACTTTAAGAAATTACTGCTTTATGCCACAGTAATTAATTTAATTCTAAAACTTCAGGCTTTTTCAATAAAGCTAGATAGATGTTATTTGTGGTATGTTAAACAATGCAGAGCTTGTCATATTTCTTCCTTGAACTTCCAATATCTCAAAAGGTTTAATAAGTTACTTTCTGTGTGCTTTTAGTAATAAAACCTTTTAGCTAAGCTAATACAGATAAATTTACTGTTCAAAACATATGAGTGATGTCAGCTGGCAGTGATCCAGAAATCAGGATATGCTGCTGTGCAAATACTAAAGTTCATGTTGTGCAGTCTTTGTTAAGTGTGTGAGCCAAGAGAGTACATGCTTGTGTTGTCTTACATAACAAGTATCAACAGTTCTGCTGTTGGGATGTTTTTGTGGAGAACTTTTGGACGTGGAGTGTTTGTACATTTCATGTCTGTTGATCAATTGGGAATGACTGGAGTAGATTCAGTGGCTGTGAAGATGGGGGATTGTATTACAGTGTTTAACTGAATTTCTGTCTTGTCATGTTTTTTAAAGAGGGCAAGCGAGAGAAAATCAACGAGTTGTTGAAGTACATTGAGGAGCGACTGCATACTCTAGAAGAGGAGAAAGAGGAGCTGGCACAGTACCAGAAATGGGATAAAATGAGGAGAGCATTGGAATACACCATTTATAATCAGGAACTTAATGAAACTCGAGCTAAGCTTGATGAGGTAAAATGTCTTGGCTGGTACAAAATGTAATGAGCTGTTGGTTTGTTTTTGCTACCATCTCCTTGTGATCCTTGGTAGAATCCTGGCAGTGTTGAGGAACCTTTCCTGTGCAGCCGTCCAGGAGCCACTCTGGCAGTCAGAGCTGCACCACCTGAGCTGGGACTGAAACCCCTTCCCAGTGCAGGTGCCTCACTTGACTCCCTGCACCACACTCACAGTCAGACCAGGCTTCCCATAGCAGAGTCTCAGATGTCTTGATCCTTAAGGTAGTTTAATCTTGGTGCAATGACTAAATAACAAAGGAAGGTGAGACCCCAGCAGAGGAAACTGGGTTTTTATCCCCTCACAGTGGAAGTGTGAGGCTTCTGTTGCTGCTGTGTCTCTGAGTGCCACAGGTTCCTGTGCCCTTCATTTTGCAAAGGGACATTAGTTCTCTTGCCTGTGGCTTCCACCACCCAGAATTTAATCTGCAGCATTCTGCAGCTGCACACTGAACTACCTGCACTGTATGTACTTGTCAGCATCACTGTTCTTCACTAAATAAATTATTTTCATTCTGAAACCACTACTGAAGCAGAATCTGGCTTAAGCTATTGATGATATTTCCATACAGCTTTCTGCTAAACGAGAGACGAGTGGAGAAAAATCAAGGCAGCTGAGAGATGCACAGCAAGATGCTAGAGATAAAATGGAGGTAAAAATACTTTTAAAAGGGCTCTCCAGAGGTTTCTTTTGCTTTGTGGTTTTGGGGATTTTTTGGAGCAGGTGGGGAGGGAGAGGATGAGGGCTGGTGGCGTCTGTGTTAAATTCAGTTGCATGCTTTCATGCTGTTTGCAAACTTGGGGGTTTTCACACATCTAGTGTATTGTGATCTACAGAATAATGATCTTGTGAGTTTTGATAAATAGTGAAATGTTCATTCAGTGTTTAAGATACTGCATACTTAAATTTGCATAGGAAATAGAGCGGCAAGTTCGAGAACTGAAGACAAAGATTTCTGCAATGAAAGAAGAGAAGGAGCAACTTAGTGCTGAAAGACAGGAGCAGATTAAACAGAGGACTAAATTAGAATTGAAGGCAAAAGATCTACAGGATGAATTAGCTGGCAACAGTGAGCAAAGGGTACGTAACACCAGTGAAGTCTTAAAATGTCAATGGCACAGGGAAGTGTTCATGTACACTGAGGTTTTGGTTTTAGACTGAAGCCTGTCACTATTTTGTAAGGTTTGTTAAATACTAACTTTAAATACTGCTTTGTTTGACTTTCAGAAAAGACTACTAAAAGAGAGGCAAAAACTTCTTGAGAAAATCGAGGAGAAGCAGAAAGAATTGGCAGAAACAGAGCCAAAATTTAACAGCGTAAAAGAAAAAGAAGAGAGGGGAATTGCTAGGTCTGTGGCATTCTGTGCAAATTTTAACAATGCTATCCATCTGCAGTTAACAAAAATTTATACTTGTTGCTTGACAGCAGGGTAGCTACATGCCCTTGGAGAGGGTCTGTAAAAAGCCTGCTTTATTGTTGGGGTGGGAACAGTATTTGGCAAAATGATTTTCTAAGCTTAACCACTTCTTCTGGATTATTTTGTTTATACATGATCCTTTTCTTCTTGTTACTGATTTGGTGCTCGAATTTGAGGGCCTGGTATGACATTTGAAAATTCCACTAGTAATTCTTAATGCTTGCTCTTAATAACTTCAAGATTTCTTTATAATACAAGATGTCTTTCCTTTCTCAAAACAGACTCGCACAGGCTACACAAGAAAGAACAGATCTCTATGCAAAGCAAGGTCGAGGGAGCCAGTTTACTTCCAAAGAGGAGAGGGATAAGTGGATAAAGAAAGAGCTGAAGTCCTTAGATCAAGCCATCAATGACAAGAAGCGGCAGATTGCAGCTATACACAAGGACTTGGAGGATACAGAGGCAAACAAGGAGAAAAACTTGGAGCAGTACAGTGTAAGTTTGCAGCCTATTCTCAGTCTCTTAGAGAAAGGTTAAATACTCAGTTGTGGACAGTCAGACTTCAATGCCTATTTATAAGGAAGATGTGACTTTCTGGTTGAGTGTTGGCTTTGATAAATGCTTATGGAAAACATCTACAGATAAACTTTCAGCTCCTTTAACATTGTACTGTCTTTGCTCTTTGTGTTGGCTTTGTCTTCTCATACTTTTCCCAATGTGTTTGGCCTGACTTTTCAGGAATAGGCTTCTCTCTGCCTTGCTCTTGTCTATGTTGAACATAGCCATTTAATAGGAAACAATTTGTTACATTCTTATGGAAGTCTGTGTTGGTTGTTTTCACTTCTCTCATTTTCCCAACAGGGAAAGCAACAGGGTCTTTTTGACTATGAAGCAGGCACTGCACCCTTGTACCATGGCTGCAGCTGGTTAGAAGCTACATCCCCAGGCGTGTTAGAAGATTAATCTGTTACCTGCATAACTTAGATTTTAATTTCCATTCAGAAATGGCTCTTACAGTGCAAGTACAGCAAAATAATCCAAAGGTAGCATTCCTGCTAGGAGCTCTAGCTGTGAAAACCCTGCTTTTATATTGAGAGAACATACAGTGCCAATGCTGATGGTCTTGGTCTTTGTGTAATATACCTACTGAAATTGAGGGTCAGTCTGACACCGTGCAGGAGTGTAGTTGTACAAAGATGATGGTGTTCTGCTAAAATACTGCTTGATTTGGATCCACTTTAGCAAAGTTGTGATTCTCTGAGTTGGTGAATGAAGAAAATGGCATTTACCACTGGCTGATTCCAATTGTATTATACTGCTCAATGGTAATTCTGTAGAATTGAAGGGATTAAATTTGTTGTGGATTTTGATTCCTTTCTATAAACATGCCTTGGTTTCCTTTTCCTCCTCAAGGAAGGTTGATTTATGCTTAGGTGAAAAGTTGTATAGCTTTTTGTTGTTCAAAGAGAAGGCATCTTGGGTGAATGTGATCGAGAGCCTGCAAGGTTAGTTTAGAACGAGCTGGCTGTGTTTTTACAGCACCGTTAGTCCTCCTTGTACACATATAAATACATAAACACTATGGAGTGCTAGCCCTGAACTGCTCTGAAAGTGGCAGGTGTTAAGTGAGCAGAGGGGGGATGTCTGTGCATTGGCTTGAACAGCACACTGTTGACAGCAGCTGTCTTGTAAGTCTGGTACTGCTGGAGAGCAGGCTAAGGCTTTTGACTAATAGCAGGTTGGCATGGTACACAAGATTAGTTGTACTTATCACAAATGTCATTTCAGAGCATGGGAAGTTATGTGTGTGTTAGTTACTGTTTTGATTCCTGTTCTTGCTGTGACTTACAGGGATCCATTTCACTTCAATGCCCAGAGGCACAGTTGAACTCAGTGCCTGCCTTGCCATCTGTGTGGCACCTACACCTTGTTACTGCTTCTTTACAAAGCTGTCTTTATTCTTACTGCTTTTGCAGTTTGTTGTAAGCTGGTTAAAATGTTTGTAGCAATTTTTTGAATTTTTTGTAGTTCAGTATTGAGTAAAACAGATTTTTTTTTTTCAATATACAGAGCTGTAGTTTCATGCTGTTCTTTTCTTTGTATTAGAAACTGGACCAGGATCTCAATGAAGTGAAGGCTCGTGTTGAAGAACTGGACAGAAAATACTATGAAGTGAAAAATAAAAAGGATGAACTACAGAGTGAAAGAAAGTTAGTAATTAATTGAAATATGTCTCAATCTCACTTAATGTGAAGGACCCCAACTGTGTAGTTGTTAACATGGCATGTAGGTATGTTTTTTAAATATGGCCATGTATGAACTTCTGCACTTTGCCTTCCCATTAGATTAGCAGCTTTTAAGAAAATAATAATAAAACATTCAGATTGCATTCACACTTAAAAAATTTTATTGGTTTTGTTCTGTAGTTACCTATGGAGAGAAGAGAATGCAGAACAACAAGCTCTTGCTGCAAAAAGGGAGGATCTAGAAAAGAAACAGCAGCTTCTCAGAGCAGCAACAGGAAAGGTAAGATAACCTCACTCTTGATAATTCCTTGTAGAATATCATTCTTGACAAGTCAGTTTTATCTGAAAGATATGATAGTTACTTTTATAATTATGGTTTTTCTGTCACAATTAAGAAGGACAAATTGTATTCTGGGCTGAAGTTTTCAAATATTCATAGCTCTAGCACTACTTGAAAATGAATTTTGTGAGCTCAAGGTAGTTGATATGAGGAGACTAGGCAAAAATGGAATATTTTTAAAATTTCCTCTGATACCTTTTTGATTAAAAAAACCCCAAATAAAACTAAAAAGTGATGGTCTCTTATTTAGGTATGTTCTGTTAGAGCTGTAGGTTAGTTAACATGAATTTGGCATAAAGGAGATGACACCTGTCACAAAGGTAAAATGAATATTATGCCCACACATTTAACTGCAATACAGTAATTAGCTGTATTTGAACAGGCCATTTTGAATGGAATAGACAGCATAAACAAAGTTTTGGAGCACTTCCGTCGGAAAGGCATAAACCAGCACGTTCTGAACGGCTATCATGGAATTGTAATGAATAACTTTGAGTGTGAGCCAGCATTCTACACCTGTGTTGAAGTCACTGCAGGGAACAGGTAATTAATTATGTGCTATTTAGTGCAGTGTCACAACTTTTCTACTGAAATTTTATTCTTTTGATCTTGACATCTTCCATTTTTTTTTTAAAAAACCTTAAACAAAACCAGAGAGAAAAAAAAGAAAAAAAAAACCAAAAAACAAAAAAGGCCTCAGACCACACTCCTGACACTTGCCAGAGTCATTGGTGGTGAGACTGAATTATATTGGATAAAATGGACAGCATCTTGCAGTGTGGAGAATTCTGCAGTAAGCAAGGCTGATATTTTAGTAAATAGTAAGAATTATTTCACTTGTACTAGAAAATCTCATGGTTGAGAATGATCTCTAAACTGTCAAAAACTGCTGTCTAAAAGTTATCTGAAAAGATGCTGAGTGTGAATGAATCTGTGTAAAATGTTTTCTAGAAGTAAATGCCTGTTGGGTGATCCACCACTTGCTGCAACATCTAACACTTCAGGTTAATTAAGATCATCTTTTTGTGTGATCGGTCCCTGTTCCAACTTCTGAGTAGTCATGAAAGCTCTTGTTCTAATGAAGTGCAGCTAATGGCATAAGAGCAGGAAAGAGGACAGAGGTGACATGGTCTTGCAAAGTGCCACATAGAAATGTTGATGCTCCTGGGATTGGAAGTGCAGTCTCTTCTGAAACTTGTATCAGTGTGAGCAAGGGTGTCTCTTCCAAGCACTTCACAGTTCTCTGAAACCTGTGTCCCATAGTTTGGAAAATGTAACAAGCAGCCTTAGTTCAACTTGAAAGGAAAAATCCCTTACTTCAGTCCCTTGTAGTGCACAGGGAGATGGGGTCTCTGTCCCTGTGTGTGCTGTATAGAGGCAGCAGAGGCAAACTTTGGAGATGCATGCAGAGAGAGGGGGCTGAATGTTGTGTGATGGAAATGCAGACACAGGTGTAGACACAGTGGCACTGTACACATACTGAGCTGCTCCTGGCTGGACAGTGGAATGTAAAGTTGTCAGCAAATCCTATTTTAACTGAAGTGAAAAGAGTACCCACTGGCTTTTTCTAAGGCATGGAGTTGGAAATGCAGTGCAACTTTATGGTGATGTGTTATGTAATGGAATCTGCAAGAATACTGTCTGTGTACAAATATGTTTGTCCTTTTAGCATTGTGAAGGTTTGCCTACTTGTTTTGCTTGTTAAACAGGTTGTTTTATCACATTGTGGATTCTGATGAGGTCAGTACAAAGATCCTAATGGAATTTAACAAAATGAACCTTCCTGGAGAAGTTACTTTCCTCCCTCTGAACAAGCTGGATGTTAGAGATACTGCTTATCCTGAGACTAATGTGAGTGAGAATTACTTTTGACCCTTGTCTTTGCTTCATAGCCACAAAGCCTCATCCTTTGAAACTGTGTACATTGCTTATTGCCCACCACTTGCTTTTTGTTTGTCTGCAGTTAAATACTACTTCAAATGTATACTTCTGAACATAAACTATGTTATAGAAAAACATTTTTCTACAAGGTATCTGCTCTTTACTAACTGCACTTTACAAGTGAAAAAGCAATGCTTATAAGTAGAGTTTTATTGTAACCTGATACTCAAGAATTACTTAATTGCTGAACTGTAATTCTCTCACCTTAGGATGCTATTCCTATGATTAGTAAACTGAGATACAATCCAAGATTTGATAAAGCTTTCAAACATGTTTTTGGGAAGACTTTAATTTGTCGTAGCATGGAAGTGTCTACTCAGCTGGCCAGAGCTTTCACAATGGATTGTATCACTCTGGAAGGTAAATACTGCAATTTTTTATAGGTTATTTATTGCAAAAATAGGATTCCTGGGAACATGGGGCTCATTAAACATGTTCTGTTCAGTGCTGTTGAAATAAGATTTATTAAAAATAATGGTATGCTTGGCTGAGATCTATGTACAGGGTTGCACTTGGTTAAATACAGTGCTTAAAAATACAGCTTAAAATGTATGGAATTTTCTTATGTTCTAAATTTTCGTAGCAATGTATCTCCATCCTGAGATTTGCAAAGCAGAATAGGTTTGCATTCATCCAGTTTTTTTAATCCAATTTAACAGGTATTTGTTTTTCTGGAGTGCTTATGGTGTTTTCCCCAAGCTCAAACCCCAGTGTTTAGGGTGTGAATGAATGGCCTTAATTCCTTAAGGCCATTCCTTAATTCCTTATAAAGGCAATGTGAATTCTTCTGTGCAACAGATATATTTACATCTTATGTGCTCTGAAATAATCTATAATTTTTGAAATTGCCTGTATTAAAGAGGGCAGATTCCTTGCAGGCTTATTGTTGTCTCTTTGTGTCTTAAAGTCAATCTGAAAAAATTCCAAAGGGTGTCTGAGGAAGAAATCACTAATTTTTCAGTATCAGCATACTCTATAGCCACAGATGCTGCTAATTACTTCATCTCTTTATTTCCTCATAGAAGACTTGAGATTTTTTTTCAAACTGGTAATGCTAGACATTTGCATTTTTCCCTTAATATAAGTATTTATTTTCTTTCAAGCTGCATGGTTTCAGAAGCTAATTAAAATTTAAAAAAAACAACTAATGCTTAAAGGAGATCCCAGCAGTCTGTGGAGATCTTTAGAAAGGAAATAGCGCTTAAATTGAATAGAGAAATAAACATTTCCCTATTTACTGTAAACATGATTGCTGAAACATTCAGTGCTTTTGTAGCTTAGTTGAGATGTTCTGGTTAACCTGCTAAGCTGTGATGTGGAAACTGTGCTGGACCTTAGGCAAGTGTGTGGTGTGCATTTTACATCTCACTGTGTTCTGCTCTCAGGTGACCAGGTCAGCCATCGAGGTGCTTTGACTGGAGGTTATTATGACACCAGGAAGTCTCGGCTTGAATTGCAAAAAGATGTTAGAAAAGCAGAAGAGGAACTTGGTGAACTTGAAGCAAAGCTCAATGAAAACTTACGTAGAAACATTGAAAATATCCTTTTGTTGTTAATGGGGAAGGTTGTGTGACACAAAGCTTTTCTTTTGTGGTTACAGTAATAGATGGAAAACAGGAGACTGACTTGTTACATATTATCTGTGGCATTTGTTTTGACTGTTTGTGTGCAGCCTGGTTCTCTGTGTTACTGTATTTGATATTGATCTTTAAAGCTTAGAGGTGAGGTTAAACCCTAGATTATGAGGCTTTCTATTCCTTTTAGAGTCTGCTGTAGTAACTGCCATAACCAGATATTCTTGTTATCTGTGTTAATCTTCACTGCTTCTTCTGACTCAGGCTATATTTTTAGTACTTGTGTCCTGAATTGATGTTACACAGTCCACTTCTGCTGTGGAGGGGAGGTGGGAGAGCATTGTGCTGTTATAAGCTCTGAGTTGCCTGACAGTTTGATCTTTCCAGTCTCTTTGTACTGTGTCCTTTTGAGATCCAATACCTACATTTCAGGGGTAAGGGAGGTTTATACATTTTTCTTATACATCACTCAGGTCATTCTGTCCTTCAGACTGAACTCCTTTGTTTTTGTACTTGCATCAGTGCATTAGAGACATCTGGTTTGTATTTTATAAGGTCTGAGCTTTCCCTGCATGTTCAAATGTATCCCTGTGTTCTTCCAAATGCTGTGTAATAAAATAATCAAGGAAATCTTCATTTAGCTTAGTTCCTGGCATTAGTAAGTTACTTGATAAGTTGATAAGCTGCTCAAGTTGTTTTTGTTGATGATTCTTGATTTTTCCTCTACAAGTGATCATTATGGTTTGGTGGAGTTTCGATTTGTTTGCTATTTTGATGAAAGATGAATATGTCAGATGGAAAAAAATTGAAGGTACTTGTAGGAAAAAAATAATTCTTAAAACAAGGACAGAATTTTCCTTAGCCCACAGTATGGATTAATAATGAGATTGACCAGCTAATGAACCAAATGCAGCAAATTGAAACACAGCAGAGAAAATTCAAAGCCTCTCGAGACAGTATTTTGTCAGAGATGAAAATGCTGAAGGAGAAAAGGCAGCAGTCTGAAAAGACATTTATGCCTAAGGTTGGTATGGGGATATTGACAACTGTTGCTTGGTTTATTTTAATTGTTTCATTAATGTTACTGATAAACATGCATTCCCTTCTGGTTACCATCATAATATGAAATATTAAGAGATAACTAGAGATATGTCACAAAAATATGTTGATATGAAGAGGTGAAACTCATATAAATGTAGAGATTGCTTTGAGGAGTGATTCTGTCTGTCTGTCCCACAGCAACGTAGCCTGCAGAGCCTGGAGGCAAGTTTGCATGCCATGGAGTCAACCAGAGAATCGTTAAAAGCAGAGCTGGGCACGGATTTGTTGTCTCAGCTCAGTCTTGAAGATCAGAAACGTGTGGATGCTCTTAATGATGAAATCCGACAGCTGCAGCAAGTAAGGAAATGAAAATATCTTGCTATTAAATGTGGTACCTTCTTAGCAATAAACTTTTGTCCTTTTGGATCAAAAGTCACTTATGAATATAGTGTCAGTAAATCAGTGCTTAGTCAGGAGTAGGTAGGTGGGTTTAAAGTTCTGTCATTTGCAAAGGGTGTTTGCAAGTTTTTCTCAAACACCAGGTGAAATTTGCCAGTTGATTGTCTGAGAATTAAGGCTATTTGTGTTGAAATCATCACAATTTTCTTGCTCTTGCTATTGACTTTGCAACAATAAATACAAATAGATATCATGTGAAGGCAGGATGCACAGTATGAGAAAGGAAAATTTCTATGTGTGAGTGGTAGGTGAGACAAAACAAAGCTTTTGATTGACACATGTTGCTGGAAAAATACTGCTTCTTAATATACTCTCTAAAGCACTTCTGGGTTTAAGAATTGAATTCAGATACAAATAATGATTAATGAACTCAATGATCTGTACAGTTGACTTTTACACTAGACACTTTTTAATTTGGTTTTTTTTTTTTGTTACTTAAAATTGGAGGAACAGTCCAGAGATCTGTGAGATTTTAATATACAGAATTGTGTGAAGAAGGTTTTTTTGTTGTTGTGGCATTAATTTTTTTGTTATAACAAGGTAAAAATAGTCCTAGTCAGGTAAGGCAACTAATACACTTCTCTACTTTCTTCAGGAAAACAGACAGCTTTTGAATGAGAGGATTAAATTAGAAGGCATTATCACAAGAGTTGAAACATACCTCAATGAGAATCTGAGAAAACGCTTGGACCAAGTGGAGCAAGTAAGAGTTTTCTTTTAAATGTGCTTTTGCATTCTGGGTTTGGTTTTTTTCTAATCACATGTAAATCACAAATACTAACACATGTAAATCATAAATACTTATTTGTTACACTGCATTATCTGTGGTGGGGTTTGCTCCCTATGTATAAACTGAGTTAAGTATTGGTTTGAATTTCAGCAAGTTTTTGACAAAAGCTACTGTGAATATGTGGTCTGTGTATTAATAGGACTATTATGATGCCAGATTTGTTTGAAAATCTAACTTATTAGACCTTAGAACATCATGAAAATATTTAGTATATGTATGTAATAGTTATATACAGAGTAGCAGAAAATATCTTTTTTGTCTGGCTTATGTTCCCATTCATGCTGAAGCCTGGTGGCATTTATTTATCCCATAGGAACTGAATGAGCTTCGAGAGACAGAAGGTGGCACAGTTCTTACTGCCACAACATCAGAACTTGAGGCTATCAACAAACGAGTGAAGGATACCCTGGCACGGTCAGATGGTTGGTAACATCATGTTTTGGAAAGAAAACTCTCCAGGCTTTTGAAAGTTCACACATGCCATATTTGATTCAGAAATAGATCCCAATGTAATTAACTTGTGTTGGGCTTCCAACTTGAGGGTGTGGTAGTTGAAAGGCAACTGTCCTACAAGCAAGATCTTGTATTAATTGTTCCTGAATTTTGTCTAACCCATTTCAAACTCAGCTGCTTGAGTTTGGTTTGAAACTTCCTTTGCTTCCCTTTCTAGACCTGAACAATATGACTGTAGTACATTTGTTTGGGTTTTTTTAAGCCATATACTCATGGGGAAGAAAAGAGGGATTTTCAGCCTTCTGCCTGAATTTTAACCATGTTTCTTAATAGATCTTCTTTAGTCTATCTTTTTGTTTCATAAATACTTTATTGGATAATTACTGATCTTATAGAGGCATGTAAAACTTACAGCTTTGGGTTTTGTACTCTTGTTCAATATTGCAGATCTGGATAACTCTATTGACAAAACAGAAGCAGGGATTAAAGAACTTCAGAAGAGCATGGAACGCTGGAAGAACATGGAGAAGGAGCATATGGATGCTATTAACCATGATACAAAAGAACTTGAAAAAATGACAAACAGGCAAGGCATGCTCCTCAAGAAGAAAGAGGAATGCATGAAGAAAATACGAGAGTTGGGTTCACTTCCACAGGAGGCTTTTGAAAAGTATCAGACTTTGAGTTTAAAGCAGGTAAATAGTGTGCTTGGTTTCATGTTTTATGACCTGAATCATTGGTGTCACCTGCATGTTGAGTGTCAAGTGTGGCTGGAATTGCAGGTCACTTTGATGTGTTCCTGTTTTCTGTTTGCAGTTATTCCGCAAGCTGGAGCAGTGCAATACTGAACTGAAGAAATACAGTCACGTTAATAAAAAAGCTTTAGATCAGTTTGTGAATTTCTCAGAGCAGAAGGAAAAATTGATAAAAAGACAAGAGGAACTGGACAGGGGCTACAAATCCATCATGGAGCTGATGAATGTCCTTGAGCTCAGGAAATACGAGGCTATTCAGCTGACTTTCAAACAGGTAACAAAATGGGAACAATTATAAAGACACTGGTGCTGAAATCAATCGGGTTGTCCCATGGTGTAGCAGCAATGTGAGAAGAAGAGGATAATAAATAAATCTGTACTAAAAGAAGGCTGTGTTGTGTAACTTGAGGCTTGTGGGTTTTTTAAAAACTGAAAAGTAAATAATGCTACCATTTTCAGTAAGTGCCCATCTCCAATACAACTCTAGCTGTGCTTAAAACTTCTTAAATACTTCCTCTCAAGTGAGTTCCTATATACTTACATACAAACCTTTCTGGGAACTGTGGCAAAAAACTGCACCAAATCTCTTCTCCAGATTTAGTGAAAGGAATTTTAATGTTAGCAAAGAATCTTAATTACAAAATGTGTGAATTGTTCTCTTTAAAGGTCTTTTGCCTAACTGAAGATTACTAAGAAAATCTTATTTTTGCTGCAGGTCTATGTTTTAATTGGACCATTTTATTGAAAAAAATTTTGAAAATTCTCATACTACAAAAACAGTTGTTTTGACTCCTGTTTTAAGCCAAGCTTTGTACAGCATACATTTCTCACTTCTGCTTAAGAGCATGAATCTCCTCTTTGAAGCAGATTCTCTTTTTTTTTGTGTTCATGCAAAAGCACTTGTCTGCATTTGATTTCATTCTGTAAAAATGAGTGGGTTTTGATGAGTAGCTTTCATTTTGTAAAAAATGAGGAGGTAAAAATGACTGTTTCTTTTTCAGGTGTCAAAAAATTTCAGTGAAGTATTCCAAAAGTTAGTACCTGGTGGCAAGGCCACATTGGTGATGAAGAAAGGAGATGTGGAAGGCAGTCAGTCCCAGGATGAAGGTGAAGGCAGTACTGAGAGCGAAAGGGGATCTGGATCTCAGAGCAGTGTTCCATCTGTAGATCAGTTCACTGGAGTTGGCATAAGGGTAAGGAAAAATATTTGGTTTTTAGTCCTTTGAATGTTTGTTTAGGTTGTCTTTTAACTGTATTTTTAAAAGGCAGCATTTAGTTGATCCTGTTTGTTTAATAGCAAGTGATGCTGTGGTTTAATGTTTCGAAATCATCTTGCTGGTGCATTGTTTTCTTAGGTATCATTCACAGGAAAGCAGGGTGAAATGAGAGAAATGCAGCAACTTTCAGGTGGACAGAAATCTTTAGTGGCCCTGGCCCTAATATTTGCCATCCAGAAATGTGATCCAGCTCCGTTCTACTTGTTTGATGAAATCGACCAAGCCTTGGATGCCCAACATAGAAAAGCTGTGTCAGGTACTTGTCTGCCTTTTATAATCTTCATTGTGGTTGAAGGTAATAGTTTGTTTTCTCATCCCTGATGTTTAAGAATAAAGCTTTTGATCATAAAAACACATTTTTGAGAAGCCCAGTGTGTGTATGGAGAAGTTCTCATGAACTTGGTTTTATGTGGAAGCTGAAGCTCTGTTCTGTTACTGCATTTAAAGGGTCTCCTTACTGCACTTCAGTGTGTTGAAAAACAGTCCTGTTTTGAAGTCTGTTTTGATTTTAGAAAGGAATAGAAAAGTGCATTCGTGGTTTTTCATCATAGAAGTTTAATATACTAGGTTTGCTGAGTGGCTGGATTTGTCAGGTTCACACTGGAATTAATGAGAATACTTCTAGTATTATCTGGGAAATAAAACTGGTATGGATACTTTCTTGATTTATGGGGTTTTTGCTTCATTAACCAAAACCTCATTTTGAATAAGGCAAAGAGTTTGCTCTTTTTGTCTGTCTCACGTTATTGAAAATGCTACATTAATAAAGAATTTTTGTGTTCTTTTTTAGATATGATTATGGAACTAGCTGAACATGCTCAGTTTATTACAACAACTTTTAGGCCAGAGTTGCTTGAGTCAGCTGACAAGTTCTATGGTGTAAAATTCAGAAATAAGGTAAGTAGTATGATAGGCTTCTCAGTAATAACCATAATTAAAATAAGTTGTGCATTTGAGACTTAGCAAGAATTCAGAGTGAATCAGACTCACTTCAGCTGATAAATTTCTGTTTATAACAGTCTTCTATAAAGAGTTCTCTCATTCTTGAAAGAGAATTTAAATGCCTGCAAATGTCCAGTGTCACATTCTTTAAAGGGATTATAAATCAATCATAGACCCATTGCTGAGTCCTGGAGCCTTCAGAAATGTCTGTCCTATTCTGCAGGAAGTACTGGAAGTACTGTAATAACTGAATGATTCTTTGTTCCACCAGGTCAGTCATATTGATGTGATCACAGCAGAAATGGCCAAAGACTTTGTAGAAGATGACACCACACATGGATAAAGGAACTTGTAATTACTGCTTATTTGGAAGATGTGTATAGTGCTATGTTTATGCCAGGGACCTGTACATTTAAAAGATGAAGTATTTAGTCCTTGTTTAAAATAGTTTTTGAACACACATTTTAACCAAGACCCCAGAAGGCTTAGTTTCAAATGAGCTTGAGTATCCATTTTGTCTCTGTTGCTGTATTTTATAAGATAATTGTTAATGTTACCTTTATACAATACCTGTAGTTTGGAAATTTTATTCTCTTCCTTCAAATCTTTTGTAAAGTGTTTGTTGCTGTTTTAAAGCTTTTCAGAAAGTGTTAGCTATTTCTTCTTAAGTATAGTTTTATCATTTATATTGCCTCACACTTTTTTTTTAATGGCTTCAATTAAAATGGTTGGTTTTATGGCTGTAACTTGTATATACAAAGTTTTTGAGTTATATTGTCTTTCTGAAGAGGAATCCACCAAGATGGAGTAAACACTTCACTCATATTGAAGTGGCATATTTCAGAATATGAGACAAAGCAATTCTCCCAAGCCACTCTTTCCCCCTCTTCTGCACATTGCCAGTGTCAGAAGAAAACTGCCCCAAATCTATGCTTGTCCAAATCCATCGTGTTCTGGTTATTGAACTGAAAAAAGGTAAGTATGAGAGAATCCTGGAAAGACCCTGGAACTGTGTCAAAACAAATCACAGCCCCTTTTCCTGCACCTTGTCCCGTGTAACAACCCCTCCATTACATCCCATTACAAGACCAGCGTAGGTTGAGCCAAGTGACAGTCTCCAGTCAAAAAGTGAAATCTTTGCCTGCCATCTACAGCTTTGGCAAAGGGATGTTGAATAGCTTGATGCATTCTCCTGAAACACTTTAAGATTTACCACAAACCATGAGTTTTGTAGGTAGCAAAGCAGTTGTAAAAAGAGAATCCATTGATGTTAAAATACTACATTTATAAAAACATAATAACCTTAAAGAATAGCTTATGTAACTTTCAGTAGTACAGTGAGAAACAGTGAATTTGTATGTTGCATTTATTCTGTGTAGGACACATTCAACAAAGCTGAAGAATAAAGCTCTCTGATAGGTTTTGATCTGCTCACACTCTTACTCCCCACTGAGAACTTGAGGAAGTGCAGGAAAGGAGAGCATGAACTGATGGCTGGGCTCAGGAGTGCTTATCCTTGCATCACAAGGTAGGGTGAGAGAAGAGTACTGAAGCTGATATGGAGCAACCAGGTAGTGATAGACATGTGGGAAATCACTATCTGCACTAAGTCTTAAGCTTGAAGGAAGAGGATGTTGTGACATAAAGTTTTCTATAGTTCCAGAGACTCAGTAGCTGCAGAGAAGACTTCTCTAAGTGAAGAGAGAAGTAAAACATGTGAAACAAAGTGTCCCAAATGCCCCCAAAATTTCTAGCATGGAAAGAGACTGTATTTGAGAACCCTGAAGAACCTGAAATCCTCTTCATACAGAGCTCTCAATATGCACGTTAGGGTGCCTGCTGCAGACCAGAATGTTCCTGAATTACTCACAGGTGAAGCCAGTTCAGAGAAGGACACAAGGAATGTGGCCACAGGTTCACACCTCAGGTTACTGATTTGGTGCTGTTTGGTCCAGTGTTTGCAAGGACACACTTGATGTGTCTAATCCATGACCACCAGATACATAGCTTGCTGTAGTAGTAGCAAGCTCTGCTCTCAGCTGATTATGCTTGCTAGTGCTAGGATATCAGCACAACACTTGTTTGAATTTTTGGAAGAGAAGTAGTTCACATGCCATTAAGCTAATTACTGTGTTTATTAAGAAGTGTCATACTAAATCCATCTAAGACTGATCATGAATTTTATCACATAATCTCATTAAAGTGGAAGTAGATTAGAGCAAGGGCTTTTGTTTTGGTGATGGGTTTTTTCTACAATGCTCAGCCTAGAGAAGCCTAACTGCAGCTGAGTAACTTGAACAACTTCAGCTGTGTTAGGAGATCTCTGGGTTGGGTGTGGCATTAAGTTGGGTTAACAAGCACAGTAGGAAAATGGGTAACCAGCAGTCTGGTGGGAACAAGTGAACACAATGTTGTTAATAGTGCAGAGGAAGAGTAGGCCTTTAGCTATCATTCAGTTTCTTGTCTGCTAAAGAATAAGGTTTGAACTACTTGCACAAAATCTGGGAGATTTATCAAGATTTTCAGGATCCCTCTTCAAGGTAAGTTTGGAGGGGGTGGTGGTTTTTTGTTTAATTGCTGCTAAACTTCATTCTGTCTTTGAAAAGGCATTTTCAGAGAGGCTACTCTCTAAGTTGACACTTTGTTGCCCTGTGAGCATACTCCTTCCCACATGCTCCTCCTTAATGCTGTGCTGCTTCTCTGTCCTGTAGCCAGTGTGAAAAAACACGATGTCACCAGTTGTTTCATCAGGTGTACTGAGTGTGTTGCAGTGATGTTGGTACAAAGAGGACTGGAATGGGAAAGGCTGAAATAGCAGCACCTCCTCGATGTGTCAAGTACAGCCTCTAAAGTGCTGTGAATGCCCTGCAGTGAGCTTGGCTTGCTGAGTTAGAAGCTACAGTTAGAATTAAAGAGAGCCTCAAACAAGGATGAAGTCAGACAGATTATGTAGCAAAATCCATGTCAGCCCACTGTGTTGAAGAGTTAATTACGTAGGAGAGAATTGTGTGAAAGTAGGAAAAGTATAACCTCATTTGTTACTGAATTTTTTCAAGGAAAGTTCTTACGTGAAGGTGAAAGTGTTGTTGAGAAAAAAAAAAAAAAACAAAAAACCAGAAAAAAATCTAAAGGAGGTTTTTTTCCTCAGACTGTTGTTAAAATCAGGAGCAGCAGAAAAGTTTTCCGTGCTGTTTGCTTCAGATTGCTATGGAATGCAGTGATTGGAGTAATGTTTCCAAGGTGGTGTTTTCTTTGTCATGGTTCATGTCTTCTCCATCCAGTATCAGAATTTACAAGTTGCCTTTTCAGTCTGTCAATGCTTTAAATTTTCTAGAGTCTTAAAAATAAGCTTTGTTGAGAGTTGCTGCATCCCTGAGTTTCTTCAGTGTCCTGTTTGTTCCACCTGGAATTTTTAATGGCAGAATTCAGTGAAGCTACAAGCTTTTAAATGTAGGACATCTCAGGAATTGTAGCTGTCCAGAGTGCCACTGGTTTCACCAATATAGGTGTTCAGTTGTTCTTTTTCCTAATTATCAATATGTGAAACTTAACACCTGAGTCACTGATCACATCTAATATCTTAGGATCCTTTTCATCTCTAGCAAACATTCTTCAAGTACTTTGTAAGATTAACACCTTTGAGGTTCATATTTTTAAGCTTATCTAAATGTTACAATATGTAGTTTGTAACTTTGAGCAGGAGATGGAGCCAAACTGGACTAAATGCAAAATGGAAGTTTGCTTTATTGTTAAAGTTGAGGGTTAAATCATAGCTTTCCTGTGAGGATTTTTGGAGTTCCAGAGACTCTTACAGCTGTTGCAAGGATTCTGAACAAATTGAGAAATACTAGTTAGTTTTACATGGATATGAATGTAAGTAAAAGGAAATAATTCACAGTTTTGGCTTTAAAAATTTATAAAAGCCTTAAACAGTTTAATACTTTGCAAAATGTCCTTATTGGGTAGAACTTCTCTGATCTAGAAACAAGTATATATAAAATTATGTAAAAATAAACATTGTTCAAATAAAGTAAAAATTGGGAAAATTATCACAAAGGTACATGATTCTGGTTCCTCTGTGAGAAATTACTAATAATTTTTTCTAGTGAATGAGATCCTTGTTCTCTTCATGCAGATGAGCTTGTGGGTGTGGGAGGTGCTGATTCCCAAGGCACTGATGATCAGAGGGGGTGGGCTGCTCCTGTTAAAGTTCTTCTGTCAAATTCGAGGTATGAAATGAGTTACCCTGCCTGCTGAAGTCAGTAACTGCTGGGATCCTCTCAGCTGCTCCTATCTGAGTGTATTTTTCCATAGGCACACAAGAGCATAGCCAAAGAACAGCTGCTCTGTGCTTGGAGCACCAGGTTCTGATGGGGAACAGTTCTTCATCTGGGGGGAAATAGCTGTTGGTTTTGCAAGCTGAGAGTCTTCAGACATTGATCTTTATTTCCAGCATCTGCTTGCTTTCTTCCTTGGGCACAATGGATGCTTTTACAGTCTCACTAATAGCCAATAAAAGTATTCCCAGTAACAAGATCAAAATATTTTTTCACATGTGTGCTAAAGTTCACTTCACCAGTGATAGCATTTTAACTTCCAGGAGGGCTGTGAAAGAGGGAATTTGGTTTTACAGAAAAGCAAATGTGTAGCCACTTCCTCCGAGTGCAATTATAAATATATTTGGGGACTATTTTAGTTGGAGGTACTTCTCACCTCAGTCCTGGCATTGCACCCCTCTTCTCCCTCTTTACAGTCAACTGAAGTGTAGAGGGAAGCCAAATTAGGCTGAGATCCTTATTTCTAGTTACTCTGCTTTTTTTCCTCCTTCAGTGTCATTTTTACTCTTTCCTTCTCGATCTCTTTAGTTTCCCATATTTTGGCTGCAGCCACAAGAGGACAATTCTTGGATTTGGTCACTTTGACTGCCTTGAGTTCAGCTTTTTTATTTTAGTTTTCTGCCTATGTATTTTGTCTCAAGCAAATGTTTCTTACATAATGCAGCAATGGTGAAGAACAAAAGTCATTGTTCAGTTGTCCTTGACGTTATTTTTATTTTTTTATTTATTAAGTTCCTCAAACTTCTGTTTGCTAATGCAGATAAGAGCTTATCATTTCTTACTGTAGTCATGGCTTGCATTTGGGATGGCTTAATTCCTCTGTGGGGAAATGTAATGATGAGAAATGACATGCAGGTTCTCAGGTTCTGATGCCTGACAGTTCCCACCATTCTAGAAATGAGATTTACATCGGGTGGGATGAGCATTTAGACCTCACTTCTGCAGCTATGCCTATTAGATGTTTGTTGGGTTACGGGATGTCAATGATATAGAATCTGCGTGTACTGGGCTTTAAATAGGAGGCATTCCAGACAGAGCATGTGTTTGAGTCAGAAGTACATCTAATTGCTGTTGATATCATTAAAGGTTGTAGGCAGATGCTGCTGGAGCTTTGAGCACAATGAAAATCTGCCTCTGTTCCTTCACAGGTTTTTCTGCTTACATTTTGAAGGATAAAAATGCATCTGTGACCTTCAGAATTCAGATCTGGCCAGCTGGATGCAGGCCCTCACAGTACAGAGGAAAACACCCCCTTGCTTAAACTGGGGGAAGTCAGCTTGTGGATGAATTTCTGGCCAGATTTAGAATTCACACTTGTAAATATTGAGTAGCTGGGATCTCTCAAGTACAGCTGCAGTTTGCAGCACTGGTTACTTGGGAATAAATTGCATTCTCATTGCTTTGTAATTACATTCAGTCTGACAGTACAGATACCAAAAACTGCTGGGGTCACTCTATGTTGCTTCCATAACAGCTATAAATGTTATACAATATATAAATTATGTAATATTAAAAGGTATAAATAACATATATATAAACATCTAGAATATATAAAGACATAGTAAGGAAATAGTCTTCTTAAGTTTAGCCTTCAGCTGTATTCAAAATTTTGTCTGAATTTGGACAGAACAGCATAGGGTTTGCATGCACTGTAATGCAGAGGAGGCTGTCACTCAGTTTTTGCAATGTGGTGATATCTATGACCTACTTTAAAAAACACTTTTGATTTAAGAAAGCTCAAAAAGAGATGTGCCACGTCAGTTCTGGGTCTCAACCCTTATTTCCCAGTTGTGCTTTCCTACAATAGTATCATGTATATTTGCCCCTAGATAACAACTTTGGGGATATTTGATGAGTTACAGTGTGGATTATTTCTCTTGAAAGGATACCAAGAAACTCAATCATTATTATGGCTACAGCCCCTTTCAAACAATCTTTTGTCAAGCCTCCTTCTTTTATGCATGGCAATTATTTGACCACCTTCTAGTCAGTGCTCCAGGATTTTTGATCCCTAGTAGTTTTTCATGAGCCATACCTGACACAGGATGAGGTTCAAGCTGATCCTACTTGATTGATGCTGTTCTCTGGTTCATTCAGAGAACAAATTTCCAACAAAAAAATACTCAGGAGGACCAGGCAGTGCTTGTGACACCAAGTTTTAAATTATTCAGTCTCGTTGCCTTCATGAAATCTCTCTTACCCCACAAAGATATTTCTGCTGAAACTTGTAAGATGGCTTTGATGCTAAAAAAAGATTCAGATGGGTACCTGGGTAGATCCATGCACAACTTGGAAATATGGCAACATTTAAATCCCTTGTTTAATAAGGGACGCTCTAAAAGGTGTGTTCACAACTGTACTTTCAGAATATATCTCAAAGCTTTCAAGAACAATGGTCTGTGTATCTAGATGTCTTGCAAATCTAGTAAAAAGCCTCTTGCAAATTGGAGGAGTAAAAGAGAGAGGAACCCCTACAACTGTGCTTCTTCAAAAGAGGGAGGGGAGATAAAACATCAGGGTTTCTATTAGTGTGAGGCACCTGAATCCAAAATTACCTATTTGGTGTCGTGTCCTGGGAAGGCATCTCAACCTGCTACATAAGACATCAAGGGTCCAAGCCATAAGAGAACCATTCTTAGATTAGATGTCAAGGTTGATCACATAAATATTCCCTCAGTGTCCAGGGTAAAGGGCAAAGCAGAGATTAACAGCTGGATGGAGGAGGAGGATTTGTTTTCATGAAATAATTTGGTGGATAGCTAGAGTAAAAGGGAAAACTGGAGAATATTTACCTGCTTTTGTCTTGTAGTTCCTCCTCCCTCTTCCTCAAGAGGCTGGGGTACTTCTGGATGTAGAACAGTTCCTCAGTGAATAAATTGGCAGAATGGGATCACTGGTGATATTCAGCACACTACACCTGGGCTTCACTGTCTGATTCCTCTGTCTGAGTTGCTGAGTGATGCAGCTGGGGCTTGTTTCTGGAATGTGCAGTGAGACAAGGGAAAAACATGGATGTATACAGCTGGTGTGATAAAAGGAGACAGCCAGGTTTTCAGGGTGGTTTTTATCTTGGCTGTGTAACAGTTCAGGAGAAGTGTCTGTGGTGGCTCTGAGGTAGCAGGGGATGTGTTGTGCTGGTTCTCTGACTCAGCACCAGCTTCTAGGAGACCAGCCCAGAACCACACATTTGGAGACTGGCAGTCAGATAGGGATACTTGAATTGTTAAATGCATTTTTCTTGTTGCAGCTCCTTGTACAAAAAGGAATTCCTTCTCCTGTCTGATCCCTCCAAGGTCACTTGGCAGCAAAAGGAAAGGCTGCTCCGTGGGTTGCAGTTTCAGATTAGTGACAAGAATTTGCAGAGTTATCCATACCCTGTGCTCCTAAGGAACCCCTGAATGGAACCCTTGGATCTATGCGTGGGTTTTTACATTGGCTGAGTGTGGAGGTTGCATTAATAACTCTCTATTGTGTAGAGCACAGATGTTGGACTGTGCAGAAAGAGAGCTAAAGGGCTGCATGAAGGCCATGGTCAAGCTCTCTGGCACGTGCTTGGTGACATTCAGTAGCTCAATGGCTGCTGTTGTCTTTGTAGGAAAGCTGTGCTTACAAGACCACTTTGAGCAGTCAGACTGTGCAACAAACACCATTACTGATGCCACTCTATTTCCTTCTTTGTGGATTTCTAGATGCCAAAATTTGAAAGACAGCATCCAGGATGCTCTATTGCTCCTTCTGCAGAGAAACCCAAACACATGATCTGGAGAAA